ATGTTGAGTAGAGAATACTTTATTTAATGTTAATGAATAAACATTCTCCCAGAGCTCGGACTGAATCGGATTAGCACACATATAATTTTCTGCCTTATCAAGTTCTGCTGGATGAAATAATTCTTTTCAACTCGATTGTTGAGGTCAGCGCCTTCATCTTTCTCCCGCTGGCTTCACTTGTAGCCTTCATTGAATTGCTTTATTGTACAAATAAAGAAGTCTTTGTAAACAAATAAGCCTGTGTTTACTTGCTTAGGCTTTGCTTCCTATTATTGGTTTCTATCCTCTAATGTGTCTTGACACAGTGGTCTGGAGTAATGACTCTGAAATGCTACACTGAATCGATGCCTGGAGCCTTTTCCTCTCTTAGGTAATTTACTTGGTAATGAGAGATGGTGCGGAAGGCTGTCTCAGCGAGCCCAGAGAAGATGTAATCTGTTTTCCCACTGATTCAGGCAGGTTAAAGAGTCTTGGGCTGTTAATTAATTAACTATGAACACTAAAGTAGGATTTTACTGAAGGGCTCAATTTGGGTAATCGGTGCCCTTCACCTGTCTGCGCCCCAGAGGGTTTTCTTGATGTCTGCTGGTGAACTATGTCACTATCATAAAGGCAGATATTTCAGTGTGGACAACATACACAAGACTTTGTTTGTTTGTTTTTTTATCCGCCGGCACTGAACACGATGGGGCTGTGTTCCCTCCTGTCTATAAAACAATCTGTATCAATCAGAATTGATCTAAATGAGCTGGCATGTCAACAGAAGACGCTCTTGAGAGTGGTTTTCATGGCCGGAGATAAGGTCAAAAAAGCCATTCTGGCCATCATAAAGAAAGTATTGTCATACTATTGATGCCATTTATTACCGGACAGGGGCGGTTGGAGGAGAAAGAGAGGAAAACGATCTGGCCTAATGCTCCGAGGAGACTGAAATGACAATGGAAAATCTATAAACCTTGGCCTAAAAGTGAACTTGTTGATATTTGAGCACGTTTTTATTTGTTGACAAATAAAGCATCTGTTGTTTTGTTGACACATGGCATAACGCTTTGAATGTCTGTGTCTGAGTTGGTGCATAAGATGTTCTGAGTAGTATGTGTAGCAAAGTAATGAAAGCACTGTTAAACTGAACTATAAATTAAATGCAATGGCTAGTATTACAAGTATTACATGAATACTTGAGATCAAAAACTTTGTAAAAAAATATATAAATTAATTCAAAGGGCTTTTACACAACTTTTATAAAGAAAGCTAATAATAGTGGAGGAAGCTTTGCATGTACAGTAGGTAATTTATAGCTAATATCTTTTATGCAACAAAACTGTGAATCCTGTAGACGGATCCAAGGTAATATTTGGACCTTGAAAGACTTTTTTTTACTTCAGCAGCATTTTTTTTTTCATATATTCATTTCTTTAAAAAATGTGCTCTTCTAATTAGTGTAACAATCATGCTTATCCCAAGCTTATCTACAGCTGTCTATTGTTGAGAGGCGGGTACACCCTGGACAGGTCACCAGTTCATCGCAGCGCAACAGAGATACAAACAGGACATACAACCATTCACGCACACACTCACACCTAAGGATAAATCAGAGAAGCCAATTAACCTAACAGTCTTGTTTTTGGACTGTGGGAGGAAGCTGGAGTACCCGGAGAGAACCCACACATGCTCAGGGAGAACATTCAAACTCCATGCAGAAAGACCCCAAACCTGGAACCTTCTTGCTGCAAGGCAGCAGTGCTACCCACTGCGCCACTGAGCAGCCCTAGTGTAATAATAATCTAACTAATAAAAGCTGTTTTTATTAGTTAGTTGTTTTCTACATTATCATTGTAACAGTTATATATTGGAGATAATGCTCTAGGCTTAGCATCACATTAAACCTGACATGACAGGAGACTAACAGTAATTCCTGAGCAGACAGTATCTGCTGTTCATTCTAAAGACGCTTCCACAGCTGGAACACCCAGGTTAAACTGTGACAGCCGCATAGAAGATTCTAAGAAATTACCTCTTTTGAGGTAAAAATCTATCAGTACATTTAGGGCTGGGCGATATGGAAAAAAACTATATCACGATATGGATTATTTTATATCACAATAACGATATATATCACGATATACCACATAGGGGTGTGCAAAATAATCGTCATGATGATGCATCGTGATTCCAATTTTCGTGATCTACTGCATCGATTCTTGACGCCAAGTATCGATTATTAATTTAAAAAAATTAATAAATAAAATTGCATGAATGGTTGGCTAACATCAGCCAAAAACAAGTGTAATACAACTTCCAGTCCAGTAAATGTCGCTGCAAATGTGTTGACGCACGCTGCCTTGTGTCACAAGCATTTCCGGCCGTGGGATACTGTGCCGAGTCATTCAAAAACAAAACATGGAGGAGAAAATATTGCAATGCATCGCAATAATTCAAGTATCGTGATGCATCGTGATAGAATCGCATCGCGGCCTGTGAATCGTGTTTCGAATCGAATCGTGACTTCTTTGGCAATACCCACCCCTAATACCACAACTGATGTTGCATTTTATGTTTTCATAGTCCGTCAGATGGACAGGGTTGAGCATTTTAGTAAGCATATTAGACGAGGTCCCGAAAGCTGTCTTTCTCGACTATGTAAACGGGGGCCATGCCTTTACAGATATAGCGTGAAATAGCACCTGTGATCTGCTTGTGTCGCTGAGACGTCTTCTCATATTGTGATCCTTGGGCGAATGCTTCGTTAAGCTTCGGCTGTGAGAATTTCTTTCCAGTGCTTCCTGTATTTTCATCCCTTGTTTGTTTTGATCGGAGTGGTTGTAGTTTCCCGTGTTCTTGTTCATGATTTTTCTTCAGGTGGTAAAAGAGGCCGGAAGTATTTGCATCAGCCGCTGGAACGGCTTTGCTGCACAGTTTACATATCGGCTACGTTTGTTCTTTATCAGATGGCTGAAATCCGAAATATAACCAAACAACCGAGCTGCCTCCCCTTTTGGGCAAAAGTGGTGTTTGTTGTGTCTGTGACCTGGCAACCGTTTCGGACTCTGTAACCGCTGCTGTGGTAACATCTTCTTGGGTGTCCATCATTCATTTTTTTTCAAGCCAGAAAGAAATTTCGCGGGCTCTCTCCGTCAGTAATGTCGCAAACGTATGGTGCAAAGCCGCGTGACGTAAAGCGGTGTAGTGTCGCAAAACCACGTTCTCTACACATTATCTTTTTATTCTCTTTTTTTTTTGTTATATACACTTAGAGTTTGCATAGCAAAAACGCAAAATTGTTATATTAACAAATTATATTAAAATGTATATTAGCAGTAATAATAAAAAAGTTTATCACGATAGAAAAAATAGAGGAGAAAGGTCACGATAGACATGTTTCTCTCGTCCTCACGATATATATCGCCATATCGCCCAGCTCTAAGTACATTCAGCATATTGCATATACACAATTCATTAAGAATAGCATCACTTTTCTTTAAAAAGACACTGAGCCTTCTGTTTGAAGCCTTAGCATCTGTATGAACAGCTGGTGGATATTTATTAAGCTCCGATACGGGGTATCCCAAGGCTTTGATTTAGGACCCTGTTTTATCATTTATACATCAAGAAAAATTAAATGATCTGGTTAAAAAATAAATTTCCTCCAATCCATACATCCATTCATCTTATCCAAAGCGGGGTCGTTAGGCGTGCTGGTGCCTATCTCCAGCTGTCTACAGGCGAGAGGTGGGGTACACCCTGGACAGATCGCCAGTCCATCACAGGGATTCCTCCAATCCATCTCAGATTAGTTGTCATTCTGCTTATTAATGGCAGACTGGTCATTGAAATTCTGTATCAAGCCAACCTGGACGATCAAGCATTTATGCTTTTAACAGTGAAGGCAGGAGCCAAATTCTACTGAAAGCAAAAACAATTTATCAAAAAATCTTGTCATCAAAGTGAATTACCGTATGAAATGGCCTCATATTTTCCTCCAATATGGCTGCACTTTGAACTTAATAAAACAAAATGGACCAACAGATGACATGTCCCACCAAACCATAAGTGACAGCAGAAATTTATATTGTACCTCCCATGGATTTTATCTATCTCCCTCTTAATTCAAACTCTTAATTATGTAATTAAAGGCAATTTCTCATTTCAACAAATGGACCACAGATAAATAGTCAAATCCGGTTTTTCTCCTCAGCTTATAGTGTTGTCTCAGATTAAAAATCCACACAGAAGACAATTGTTTTTCCTCCTGTCCTGGTCATGTCTGGGTGTGCTGGCTCTTAAAGCACCAACTTCAGCATTACTCCACACCCTGTGAATCTCCCCTAATCTCTTGAAAAGCTTTGGCTTCATACTTGTCAAGGCCGTAGTTATCCCTGCTTGTCGTGCATTTTCTTTCCACCAGGCATTTTTCTGTCTGTTCAACTTTCCAGACATTTTCTATAATAAAACAGGATGCAGAACTAAACCGTAGAGATACGCGCTGCAGTGTTGTGGTTATGCTCCTTGTGGTGGGTATCACTAACTCTTTTTGACAACTGCCAAATCCTCCTCATGACTGTTGAGGCAGTAGTATGTCCTTAACATAACATTTCTGTACTAACTACCCTTTTTTAATGATCTTATTTAATATTCACAATTTCTAAGAAACTGATTTTTGGATTTTCTGCAGCTTTATGGTATGATTATGCAGGATAAGAGAAATAAACATTTCTGATTAAAAAACATGTACTTCGATTACTTTATAACTTACTGAAGAGTATTTTGGAAACTTAAGGATCTGCTGTACCTGCAAAGCTCTTCTACAGGTCGACTATGTCTGGAATTATACAGTAACTTATGTTTCAGTATAAAGTCCATACATTTCTTTATAAATGCAGACTTATTATTCTATGTTTGAACACTCTTTCTCACCTCAGCCATCCTTTAACCTCTGCCATCTCCATATATTTGAGTCTCAGCTTTGAGGATAACTGTGCAATGTCTTTATGTCCCTGCAGGGTTTGGGATGACGACGCCTGTGACAATTGCTGGGAAAGTGTTCCTGATATTTTATGGGCTTCTGGGCTGCGCTGCCACTATCCTCTTTTTTAACCTCTTCCTGGAGCGCATTATAACACTCCTGGCTGTTGTAATGAAGGCTGTGAGAGAAAGAAGAATCAGGAACAGCGGTCTCCTTCCACCAGGAATCCGGCATGACTTCTCAGCCTACTCTCTCCCAGGATGGAAGCCATCCGTGTACCACGTGATGCTGATTCTGGGACTGTCAGCCATAACCATCTCCTGCTGTGCGTCGGCTATGTACAGCCCCGTAGAGGGCTGGGCATACTTAGATTCACTCTACTTCTGCTTCGTCACCTTCAGCACCATTGGCTTTGGCGACTTTGTCAGCAGCCAGAGTGCTGCCTACCAATACCAAAGCCTCTATAGGGTGGCCAACTTCTTCCTAATGCTAATGGGCGTCTGTTGCATCTACTCACTCTTCAATGTAATTTCTATTGTTATCAAGCAGGTGCTCAACTGGATGCTGGAGAAAATGAGCTGTTTGTTTTGTCAGCGTTGCAGTAAGGCAAACGCCCTCCTGGGCAGGCGCAACGCCATCCGCCCAGGCTCCAGGGGTCGTCAGAGTCGGTTCAGTCATCAGCCTGACTCAGACGGTCCATGTGATAGTGACACTGAAGGACGGAGGCTATCAGGGGAAATGATCTCCATGAAGGACCTGGCGGCTTCAAACAAGGTGTCCCTTGCTCTCATGCAGAAGCAGCTGTCTGAGTCTGCCAACGGATATCCCAGGACGGTCTGTGGCAGCTCTCGCCATAATGGCTTCTCTGGGGGCGTGGGGGCCCTTGGTATCATGAACAACAGACTGGCAGAGACGAGTAACTCCAGGTAGAACATGCAGAGAGGAAAACAAAGCATCCAAACATCTCTCAACTTTATAGTGGAACCCTGCAGTTCTGCTGAAATGGTACCTTGTTATGCATGTCATATATCATTTTTATACTCCTGACTGGAATTAAAAACCTCTTCTAAGGATGATGGCATGAACAGAGAATCACAGAGCTCCTCTTAAAGCATGGTGACAGCACTCTCAACCTAAGACTCAAAAAGAATGAGCTTTAAAATATCAGCTCTTGGCTGGAAGCAGTTGGTGCACCCAGTCAGTTCATCAGACCTTTTATGGTTGAATCATTGTGCTGTAAAAGAGCCAAGTGAAGCAAACTGCACAGTTTTTGCTTTCTTGGAGTGTTGCCAGTTCATTTGAATGTACATATGCTGACAAAAAAAGTATAACCGCTGACTGATATAGCACATACTGATCTATGCATTATATTTCTTGTACATTTTGCACCATTTTTCAACGTTTCCTTTCTTTTACCCCTATCCTGCCTTTTGTTGATTAATTTCTTTTCTTGGGGCCAACAGTGAAAAGTAGACCTTCACATCATGGCCATGATGTAGCTGATTTAAAGGGGGTTGTAGCATAGGACAGCTTTCCAGTGCTACACCAACAAGCTACAAAGAGAAATTTCCTCTCTCTGCAAATGGAAAAAAGGAAAAAGATGAAGAATGAAAATCTGTTTCTTGAGAGAGAGAAACTGGCCTTCTTATCAGCTATATGCACATGTTTGAGTGGCCAGACACTGACTTAAAGGGTAAAAGATGGCACCAACCATATCTTTCTTTCACCATGCTGTATGTTTCAAGCTAAACAACTCACTGTGAGGAAAATAAAGAGTTTTTTTTCTGTTTGGTATTAACTGCAGTGTATTATAAAGAAATTGCAAAAAGAAGAAAAGGAGAAAAACACTAGATAGGTTAAAGATGTATGAGGAGGTCCTTTTCACTAGAATGCAAAGGTTTTCATGAAACATTTTGTGATTTCAAAAGGATTCAGCTTATCCAATATATATTCATACATTTCTTAGATTTTGGCCCTTAATTCCACATGTTTCAATGTATTTTATAGGGATTTAATGTGATATAACACAGTAATGCACACCTGTATGCTGAATTGATAAAACAAAATAAAGAGGAGGGTTCCCTAGTTATGCTTAGCCCCCTGTGACACCCCTAAATCAAATAATAGAAACAAAACAATTAGAAAGTCTGTTTGCCCGAAACTAATTTAAATAGACAGCAAGGACCTAAAAGAAAATGGTCTGAATACAGGGGACAAAAATCTACATTTATTGGCCCTCCTTCAGAATGGACAGTCCACATCAGTGAGGAGAATGTCACTTAAAAGAGTAACTAGTTATAGCTACTAGTTGAGTAAGTGAATGTACAATCAACGTAACTAAATACTAGTCAAATAACAATGCATTTCCTTTTTACAATCTAAGATGTTGAAGAATTTGGAAAACTTTCCTGATATTGGAACTTCAATACAAATTGTTAAATTATTAAATATAAGATTTTTGATATAAATTATTGAAATAAATAATTTAAAAGGTTTCGTATCTGAAAAACATACACTAATTTGTACCATTTTGGTGTATGTGGCTAAACAAGTGAGTTACAATATGATCATGTAGAATTAAACAGGGGTCACACCACTGGAGAAAAACACCCAGCATAACTGCAGATTTACAGCATTTCTGGGGGGGAAAACAGCAGTAAACCATGCAAGTGAACTCAGTATACCAGAGAGCAACATGTGGCAATGTTAGGTGCTTCTTTAGATCAGAGGTGCTTCTAACAGATGTACAAATTCTTTTTTCTGGCACATAATGAGTATATCGCAGGAATGTTTAGCTTTTGATTCTAGATTTACTTTTAGGGACTCTCATTGGCTCTGTGCCATCTTCTCTCCTCTCAGCCTGTGTTCAAGGTAAGGTGAACACCCGCCCACATTACAGGTTCTCAGCCAATCAGCACTTTGTATGTCACTATATCAGCTTTACTTGACCCTCAGCTAAGATCTGCCGCTCATAGTTGCTTTGATTGATCAAGTTGTAGTAACACGCTGCTTTAGATTGCAGGTATCGCACTGTCTATACTAATGTGTGAAAAGTAATTGGTTTGTTTTTTAATGACTAACAAGCAAAGTTACAAATTTAATTTTTTAGGTAACATTATTACTCTCAACACTGTCCCTAAACATAGTGTATCATGGTAATGGCAGAACCATGCTGCGTAGATTGTTTTCTCTAGCAGGTACAACAAGGCTATTCATTGGATTATGTGGAGATAGATGGTTCTTAATTCAAGGCAAACCATAAAATAAACCCAAAAGAGGCTCCAAAAGATAAAAAATAAAACTGGGGTGAAGATTCAACTTTAAGCAGGACAGCTGTAAACATTTGAGATGGTTTTGATCCAAACAAATGCATGTCATAATGACCTAATCAAAGTCAAGTTATTATCAGGTCTTTTACTTTTAATAAATCTAGATGAAATTTGAGATACGTTAATATTTCCTGTAAAATGCTCCACTTAGTGTTTGTGACAATAATGCTTGTGCATCTAATTCTGAAAAGGTTTTAAAGGCAGAGAACATTCTGAAAAAGAATTCACACATTAGGGGGGTAAACATTTAAAGCCTGTTAAAGATTCGCCATCATCCAGGACAAGGTTATTTTAAAAGTTTAAAGCAAAACAAAAAAACAACTAAACCTAATTTTTTGGCGGTTGAAATTTTTTTGATCTTCATCTGAAGGCTGTTATTCTGCAGATGTAATTCTCATGTGCAGATTGGACTCTCCTAACAGGGGATTGTTGGTTCCATTATAAAAGGAAAATAAAACACACAAAGGATTCCATTGCATTTTTGGAACGTCTGAAAAAACTCAGAAAGATTTTCTTCAAAAACAGTATCAGTGCATTTCAGACATAACTGATCTCTCAGACAGAGGTTGGTTAATCCCAAGGACAAAATTCTTAAACACAAACTAAGCTCCACAATTCTCAGTTCAGTCCAGTGAGGAAAATTTAGACTACTTTACTAAAGAATCTAATACGGCTCTCCAAGATAAGGGACTCTCTTCTGGGGGTCAAATGCCAGTTATTTCTTGAGAAAGGACAAGAAAAAAGGAAATAGAGGAAGAAACATTTAAACATTAAGCTTGATGTTCAGTAAAATTCAAACCAAGCACCTCACAGCCACCATTAGTGCTGCTCAAAGTGGGCACTAACTCTGCTCTTTGGGGAGTTTGAGCTGTATGGGATTTAAATCCAAAACAAGCCTAAAAAGCTCAGACGTCTTCCCTACTAGCTTTGAACTGAGAAAGCTCTTTGGATAATGGATGAAATGTTTTCATCAACAAAGCCAAAGACCAGGTTTGTTGTTTTTTAACCTTATTATATGTTTGCATTGACGGATCAGTTAGATTTTTGTCAGCTACTGGTAAATTAATACAAAGGTCTCATATAGAAATTTGAGCAGAGATTTTAACTGCATTTAATAAAGACATTGCTGTTTGGAAACTCATATAATAATCAAAGCTGTTAGAGCAGATTCAAGGGGAGCAGCAGAGTACGTTTGTGATGCAAATAAGAAGCGATGACTATAAGAGTTTGAAGGAGGAAACATTTCTGAAATAACTCTCTATAGGACTGTAAAATCAAAATCTGTGTTTAAAACAGATCCAACGGACTTAGAAGTAGAGATGTAGTTTATGCTGAAATATATATATTTTTTTCCTCCTTCTTGCTGATTTATGTCTATTTTTCTTTATATTTTTGATGATGCTTAATTTGGGCACTCAGCATCCCTTTAAGAAAAGGTCCCCTGCAGCACAGTCCTCAAAGAAGGATCAATGCATGCCTCCTACTGAGAGGCATATCTGCGTTTTTATTCTCCAAGCCAACCTTTACTTCCCTCACTCTGGAAACTATAATGACATTCTGACACTTTCTTATAACTACATTTAGAAATTCATACGTTTTATTTAAATTTACAAAGCTTTGCATCAGGGAAAAGTCATCTTCGATCATTAAAATCACAAACCGGTCTGTTGTTTTGCATCTGACATACAGGGATGTTTAACTCTCAGTTTCAGTGTTTCAGATTGTGTTGGATCACATGGAGTTCTCTACAGTCTAGCGGCTATTTATGTTAGAGATATGGAGCCGTGCAATGTTTGATATCTGGAAACATCAGTTTAACAGAAGAGGAAACTATCAGCTACACTGTCCTGGTGACAGTGATGGACGAAGCGCTGCAGTGGGAACAGCAGCTGGAAGTCGTGAGGATGTTAATCGACCCCTTTCGGATCCAGACTCATGTGCAATGCAAATGTACGGCCACTGGTTCACCCACAGACTCCATCTATCTTCAGCATCTAATGTCCCTCAGTGCACTTTGCTTTTTGTTTTTTTCTTTCTTTCTGTGTTCCCCATCATTTCTGCTCCCACTTTGTATTCACTGCAGCAAACCCCTCCTGCTTCCTTTATCTTGCAGATCTGTCTGATCCTGCTCATCGCTCTTACACTGTGAATAACAGACATGTCATAAATGTATATATGTAAAGAACTGGAATGTCTTTAAAAGACCATTTAACTGAAGTGAATGAAGCTCTGAGTTGTAGTGCATAGATCTGAATAATTTCCTTTCCTCCCTATAGTCTCACAAGAGGAATAGAGAAAATGACTCAGGTAGTTCAACTTTCAGGCCTGTCTTAGTTGTTCCTGCATGCCATCATGGTAAAGCCATAGCTGTATATAAAACAGAGTACTGTTTTAAATCTATTTTTCTACATATAGTTCAATTATTTACATGTGGATCACTGAACAAGTCTGCAACTTGCCTGTTTTACAGTCAATCAGCAGATGAAATGAGATGAAAGAACCAGAAATTATCCATCCTGCATAAGCATGAATTTGGAAAAAAGGAGAAAATTTTTCAAAGGGTTGGCTTTGTTTCTGCATAAATTATGTTTTTGACTGGAATATATTTATATTTCATATTCACCCCAAAACATGTTTATTTCCCTGACAGAAGATGAGGAAATGTGTTAAAACTTTTAGCAAAGCTAATCCTTTGCTCTCCTACGGTCATGACGCTACAGTTCATATGTTTTAGCAGAGCTTTCTGAACCAGTGATGGTTTCCCTTCCATCAATCGTCCCAGAGGATTAAAAGGGTCTTATAGAAGGTCCCTCTTTAAATTAATCTAAACTAAATGATAATGTGAACCTTCAACTTTATTCTGTAACCTAAGGTTAGAGAGGTGGAGGTTTCTGATTTTTTTACGCACCTATATAATCAGCTGCTAATTATTCTAACCTTACTTTCTAAAAGGATCGCTTCCTTTTCATATACTTGTATAGTTATACCATACCACACAGGACTAAAAGAAAACATGGTATTTTGAGTTCTTTCTTGAATATAAGCCACTGTTCTCCTGAAGATGTTATTCACATAAAAATAACAAGGTTTTAATCTGTATCTTCCTTGAAAATGGAACATATCCAGCTTTTTTTAGCATATATACAGTAATTTGGAAATTTCAACAGATCTTACTCCCCATTGCATAGCATAGCTTCAATGGTAATTTAGGGCTTTAAATAATGTAGATGAATAATTCCTTTATACTGTGGACTTTAAAACAAAAGCATCTCATTAAGTTTGAAAGTATTGTTGTTTTCTATATGAAAAAAAAAATCTTAAACAGTAATTCTGGCTGAATATTTGAGCTGTCTCATTTAATATGGTTGGCTAGATCTGAGAACAGTCCAAACATTAGTTTCTAAAAACATTGGTCTATAGGGCCATCAGCATGATGCTGCCATCGCCGTGCTTAAAATTTATTACAGTTTTCTTGAACCTAAAAACATCAGCTTGATTTCTCTAAATTAGGGGTCACCAACCTTTTTAAGACTGAGGGCTACTGCATGGGTACTGAGTCATAGGGGCTACCAATACTGACCTATGAACTGGAGGAGTCAGCGTTGACCTAAACTTCATAGATAATAAACATATTTCTGTTGTTTCTTTTCATTTCTAATTTACTTTTATGTATTGTAATTTTTAAATCCCTATAAATGCTTAAACGTTCCAATGAGAAGATGATATGATAAAATGCTTTATAATGATACAAAATAAGAGCTGCAGCTTAAAATAAAATTTCTAACTTAGTCCCCTGGTGAGTTGTTCTGTTTTCAGAAGATGCTGAGGGTGGACTTTGAGGGCTGCTTGGTGCCCACAGGCACCACGTTGGTGACCCCTTCTCTAAATATTTGTCTTACCAGTGTGGAAAAACACTCTTGTCATATGTGACCGTAAAACTTTTTCTCTGGAAGACTTTTTCCTCCTGATTGTGATTAGCAGCAAATTTGGGTCATTCTGGATCTGAAGCACCTGTTTCTTTCTCTGTGCTGATGATTTCAGCCCTTTTTGGATTCACTTTAGACACCAATACTGCTTCTATATGCTCTTTCAACTCAAACATTGTTAAGGCTCATATGTCCAAGTGCTAGCGTGGATGTATGTATATACATATTTTAGCCTGCAGTAATTATTCAGAGTCTGTGTGGATCAATATGCAGCCAATTGAAACTTGGCTGACTAATTGTTGTCTTAAAAATCTCTAAAGTTGATGCTGTGCAGCAACTCCACTAATGAAAGAATCAACCATCAAAGGCTGGAAATGATGATGATGATGTATGTAAACTTCTGACTGATGCTGTCGTTATTATATGAAGAGTAACATTTGGTCACCTTTTTTGAATGAGTGGCTTTAAATCAATTGCCTTAGAGAAGTCATGAATTATAACAAATGCTTTCCTTTTTTTTTTATAACAAGCAGGACCTCACCATCCTTTTGCAGTTTGCAAAATTGATTTCCATTGATTACAATGGTTTTAATGGGCCCGCTGTTCTCTATATCTATCTGTAAGAGAAAACAGGTGGTCTTAAGCGTTGTTTGTGTTTGGTAGCAACTGATATGCCTCTGAATTTGGATATCAATATCTTTTTTTTATCAATTGATTCATGTCTGCACCAAACCCTGTAATTAAAGTCAGATGGTGCAAAATTCAGAATACAAAGCAGACTCTGATAGCAGCGCTGCCTGAGCTAAAGCGGAGTCCTCAGAGTTAATTCATGCTTGAACTGTTGGAAATTATCACTGACACTGTTTATTTCCTGTAAACACATATTGCACTGTATTCACACGGCTCTGTAGGCAGCGGTTCTTCATTAAAATGTCATGCTTCCGTGGAAAGCCTGATAATGAAACAATTTGCCTGACATGAAAAAAAAAGGCTGAAGATACTGTTAGTGTGTAATTTGTTGATGCGGTTGATGGAGCGGTGGTACAATTATCTTTTATTTACCATATTTCTCCACAGTCACAGTGTGATGCGTAACAATTTGCTCTCTTGGATTTCTGCGAAGGAAGGGCCTGTTAACTTCTTAGGGTTTATGACTGTTAAAACAGCCGCTGTTGTGATCAAAATGTACTGACATTAAATTGGTTGGAAGTCATATGAGAGGGCTTGGTAACACCTTGTAGACTTTGCAAAAAAATTATTTATCATTCACTGTGTTTGGCTGCTCAAGGCTTTGAAAGTTGCTGGTTTTCATTCCGATTTTGATTTCCAAATCTAAAGGACATGTGTGCCTTTTTTTTTTTTATGAAGGCAGATGATTTGGAGCCACACTCTTGGTTTAGAAGCTCCACAATGACTCTAAAATCTAGTTCTTTTAACTGGTGACTGTATTCATATCTACACCACTCCATACCTCAGTGTGTGTTTCATGTTGCTTGCTTCATGCTGTAACATCCAGTTAATGTATGCAAATGAATTCAGTTTGCAAGTTGCACATTTATACAGATGATTGTACTTTTATATTTATGTAACGGAAAATGAAACCTATATGAGATGAGAAGGAGTTACATTAAATGATAATGACCCAGATATTGACTTCTTTTATTTATTATTGTCTTTCTCTTCAAAGGGCTTTTTTTAATGGTTTGCAGAGAGAAAATATCTGAGGAGAAGGGTTCAAGATGACCTAACAGAATGGATTTTTCATCCATTTATAGATTTCTGAACATTTTGGGTTATAATAGCTCTGATGACAGATGATTATTGCATTACAATTCCCACATGGTCCTTCTGGAGTTTTCTCAGACAGCAACACAGATTTCAGGAAATTACTGCCAAGACTAAGCCTGTGCATAAGCTCCATAAAGCCATGAAACTCATTTGGATGCTTGGGCTTTTGGGTGGATTGAACAAAGCTAAAACATGCAAAATAATGAGCTTATTAGTGTGGTATTATTAGAGCCAGGATTAGATAGAAAAATACATTTCCCTTTATGTTACAGTTTACATTTTAGACCAATCTGCACAAATAAATGTAGCATAAGAATTATATCAGGTAAAAAAAAATAAAACATGAGTATAGTTTTTGTTAATGTCTCCAGAGTGTGAAAGATTTTGTTGTATGATGTTGCTTACCAATTTATATTTTTTTATGAGCAACATAAAATGTGTTATAAATCAGAATGAAATAAACATTTTGGAGTATCACTAAAGACTTATATAGAGACACTAGCTGTTCAATTGGGTGGTTTCAATTTGAAATATATATCTATCTATATATCTATAGATAGATATATATAGATATATAGATACTTTGCTAGCATTAGATCCTAGTGGGATGTAAATACTGG